GATACACAGGGACAGGGATACACAGGGACAGGGATACACAGGGACAGGGATACACAGGGACAGGGATACACAGGGACAGGGATACACAGGGACAGGGATACACAGGGACAGGGATACACAGGGACAGGGATACACAGGGACAGGGATACACAGGGACAGGGATACACAGGGACAGGGATGCAGCAGGGCAGGGATGCACGCGGGGCACAGGGACCGACGTGCGCCGTGTTTCGGGGTACACGGGCGAGAGGATGCGCAGGGATTGGGGAGCAGGGAGTGCAGGGATGTGGGATATGCGGGGATGGTGTGGTATATCGGGGTGTGCCCTGCATGGGGGTGCAGAGGGGTGGGGATGAAGGGGAACTGGGGGTGTGGTGTTTTGGGGTGCACAGGGACCAGGGCATGAGATGTATTGGAGTGCACATGGATGTGGGTGAACAGGAACTGGGGTACATGGTGTATTTGCACAGGGACCAGGGCACATGGTGTTTTGGGGTGCACAGGGATGTGGGTACACAGGAACTGGGGTTATGGTATATGGGGGTGCACAAGGAGCAGGGATACAAAATGTATGGGGGTGCACAGGGAGCAGGGATACAAAATGTATCAGGGTGCACAGAGATTGGTGTGTGATGTATTGGGGTGCACAGGATCCAGGATGGATGGGGGACCAGGGAGCACAGTGTATTGGGGTGCACAAGGATCTGGGCTGCATGGGAAGGCCTTGGCAGGATCCTGGGGCTGCCAGGGACCCCCAGAACACACAGGGTGCTGGGAAAGAGGGATTTGGGGAGCCAGGGACCCCCAGAGCACACAGGGTGCTGGGGCTGCAGAGCCCTTGGGCCCTCAGGCTGCCCTGGGGGATGAGCTCCTCCTGGGAAGCCCATTTTTGGGGGAAAAAGAGGATTTGTGCAATTCCAAGGCTCTGGCTCAGGGGAACACTCAGGCACAGCCCCAGGCTGCGCTGGAGGCTGAGGCCTGGGGTAAAACCCAGCTGAGTTGGGTTCCTGGACATCCCTGCCCAGTCCATCCCTGGATTTAGTGAGGATGAAGTCAAGAAAAACCCAACAAAGTGTTTGATAAAATGAACTCATTTAATAGAGGAACCAAATGAGCCATTCTGTTAGCAATTCCTTGGAAAAACCCTGGAGACAGAGGCACTGACACCACCCAACCCACACGAAAAACCAGCAGGGAGATAAAATCCCACTCATTCCTCTTTCCCCCCCCCCAATTCCTCTTTCCCCCCATCAGTAACAAACACAGCACAACAATTCCATGTTTTTACGCTTCCACGCGCACGTCCAAAATGCTCCTTTGCCACAATTCCCAACAGATTCTCCTCCCACCCCTTAAGAAAACACGGCAAATATGGAATGACCCTTTCTTTGACCCAATTCCAAGTGGTTTGCCCCCAGAATTCCATGTGTTCCCAAAGCCAAGGCAGGTGGCAGCGAGGGCACCTGGGGGGGTCAGAGCTCACAAGGCTAAATAAAAGCTCCTAAGGATAAAAATGTTTTCTTGTCACACAAAATCAAATGAATCAGAACTGAGCCTAAACTTTCCTGACTTGGCTCTGCTCATGCCAAGCTGGAATCTCTTCATCCTGAAGCTGCTGTCACATTCCCAGCTGGATCACTGCTGGCTGTGCACAGCCTTGCGAAGGCTGCTCCTGCTGCAGCCACTTTGGGTTGGTTTAGTCTAGGATCAGGTAAACTCTGTTTAACCAGGATTGAGCCAAGTGAGGAGCAGGAGAATCCCTGCCTGGAGTTCATTCCTAGGAGCCATCCCATTGTGGAAGAGTTTCAGCAATGCCTTGGCAAACAGCAGGCAGGAATTAGCCATTTCCCTGCTGTGTGTGCACAAAGCTGAGCTTTAATGAGTCTATTGAGTGGTGGTAATTCCATGTTTCAGCCAAGGTTGTCCCACAGAGATGTTACTCCCCAAAGATCCACAGGACGTTGACTCCTGATAATCCCAGATTCACACGCCTGCGAAGCCCAAAGAGACCAGAATTACCCAAATTCATGCTGCTTATCCCATCAGGAGGTGATTTATCACCATTAACCTCCACCCTGTGCAAGGACTTGGGTCTGGCACTGCTCCCATCCGACTGGATACTCACCCCAGCATCCCAGATTCCTTGGTCTTAATGATGTACAGGAACATCAGCAAGGTGTGGAACATGTTGTTCCTACCCTGAATCCCCAGGCAGAGAGAGAAGAAATCAAGAACATTTCAAGACTGCAGGAGAGTTTTACTAGCTGGAAGCTTCCCCCTAGGAATTCTCAGGGATGAGCACCAAGGCTTGGTGGCCTTAAGGGGTGACAACACACATCAGGGATGAGTTTGGTTGGTGTTTGGAAGGAGACTGGAAAAACACCCAAGAGGAAGTTACTCCTTAGGTACTCCTGGAGCTTAAACAGCTCCAGATAGAGGTTGTATTGAATAGGAGACCAAGAAGAAGCTGCTCCTTAAGTACTCCTGGAGCTTAAACAGCTACTAGAGCCAGTCCTGAGTAGGAGATTCAGCACCATGTCATGGCCAGAGCCCAAGCTGGACCAGCCTAGGTGTAAAGAGCCAATGAATGAGTCTAGGACTTAAAACCATGCCAGCTCAGAGCTGGGAGTGACCCCTGAAGCAGGATAACAGGGGCTGCAGTACCTTGGGCAGGCTGTAGACCTGGCACTCGTAGATCAGCTCGTAGTGGGGAGGGTTGATGCTGCTCTGGTAGATGCAGAACACGTTTTCATTGGAGGTGTCTGAGTTAAAGATTAAAACCCAACGTTTCAGAGGTGCTGAGGTGATGCCAGAGGCAAAGAGCAGCTCATGAGGAGTGTCAGGCAGTACCTGGTTTGTCTGGAGTCTGGATGAAGTGTTGGGAAGTGAAGGTTTTGCCATCAGGATACTTGGGGTGAGGAGGGAGCCTGGAGTCCAGGTAGGTGCAGAACACATGCATCAGGATCTGGGCAGACACAACCAAATCTCACTTGAATGGGCCCAAAAACCCAACAGCTTCCTGCCATGACCTCAGAGTTCAGCAGTGTGAGACTCTGTGGGTTAACCCTTGGGGCTCAGGAGCAGCTCCAGGCCTAAAGCACCAACACACTTCAGGCCTTGGCTGAGGAACTCAAAAGGGTGAGTTCCACCACCAAACCTGCTGAGGAAACTTCTCCTTTCTCCTCATGAGAGGCAAAACAGAAATCACTGGAAAAATCTGGGCTCAATGCCAAAACTGTGCAATAAAGTCCTGGGAGGAGAATCCCCCCAAACCACATCAAGGCCTGGGAGGTGTTTTAGCTCCTCCTGGAGAGATCTCAACCTTTTGGATGAGAATCACTGAACTACCTGTAATTTGGTGCTTTCTGTGCTCATTATATACCCAACAGGATCTGCTCCACAGGGAAAACAAAAAGTGTTCCTGGGATAAAAGCTTCAAAAGCCTGGGAGATGCACCTTGGGATTCACAGCTTTGTACTCCCCACAAACAGCAAAACAGAGATGTTGTACACGGGATTATTTTGGTAACTGCCTTAAGTTCACGTCAAAACTTTATGGTTAAGTGTTTAATTACCCTTTGGAGCTGTTCCTCTTGCTCTTAGGACACTCAGAGCTGCTCCATGGCCAATCACTCCCAGAATTATGGGATGTGAAGGGGTTGGAATGGAGCTCAGAGATGATCCAGCCCCAACCCCCTGCCCTGGGCAGGGACACCTCCCACCAGAGCAGGTTGCTCAAGGTTCATCCAACCTGGAATGAAACACTGCCAGGGTTGGGGCAGCCACAGCCTCCCCAGTGTCAATCACCATCACAAAATCTACCCTGATTTACTCCTCAGCTCCAGCACTGGAATCTCTTTGTATCTCCATCAGCAAAGCTCTGAGGTCCTGGTTTCACCCCATTCCTCCAAGGCCTCCTGGCTGCTCCGAAGCCTGTGCTGAAGGAGAAGCTGCCCCACCATGTCCCTGGGCACTCACTGAGGAGTCAGTGGGCAGGTCTGTGTCCCACTTGCGGCCCTTGAAGTCTCCTCCCGCGTTCCATCGGAATGAGCTCATGCAGCCTCCCTGGGAAAGCTCTGGAAGCAACATTTGGTCAGTTCCAGGAGGTTGGAAGTGCATGAATGCAGATTTTTATGGTGCTTTCAGGGGTTTCAGACTTGGTTTAGGTGGACAGCATCAACTCAGGAAAATGCTTGTGAAGATACTAACTTGGAAAGGTAATTCCAAGATGAGTTTTGTTTGGAGTTAAAGGGATTCAATCATGGAATCAGAGGGAGGGAATCAGAATCATGGAATGGTTTGGGTTGGAAGGGACCCCAAAGATCACCATAGGCAGGGACATCTTCCACCAGAACTGGGACACTTCCAGCACTTGGCTGTGGTGTGGAAGTGTCTGGAGACACCACTCACCTCTGATCCTTTCCACCAGATATTCCTGGTTGGGTGTGAGGTCCAAATACTGCACCAGGGCGTTCAGGGTTGGGATGAGAGGAGCCTTCACGAGTGCTGCCTGCTTCAGGCTGCTGATGCTGGCTTCTGGAACATGACACGGGTCATGGGTCACCCAGGGCCACCACAGATCACTTATGACCACCACAGATCATCCACAGCCATCACAGATCAACCACGACCACCACAGGTCACTTATGGCCACCACTGGTCACCCACGACCACCACAGGTCACTTATAGCCGCCCCAGATCATCCACAGCCACCACAGATCAACCACAACCACCACAGGCCCCTGAACTGCCTCCCTCCCCAGGCTCCACTCCAGAGAGCTCTCCTGGAAAGCTCTAGACACATGTAATAGGTGACACTACCCCGAACACCCATTTCAGTCCCAGCTGAGTAGGAACCAACAAGAATTTAGGAGCAGAGGGAGAGTGACAGAGTGAAGAGAAGACCAACATCTACCACTTTCTCCACAGGCTTTGCAAGAGATGGAGTTGAGGAGGCACAAGAAATAGCCCAAATAGATGAACTGAACTGAAATGCAGCAAATCAAATCCAGTTCTTGGTGAATCTGAGCCACAGGAGAAGTAATTCCCTCAGAATTGTGTCATGACACACCAAACTAGAACTTCAGTTCATCAGGGCTTAAAATCCTTTCATTTCAGGAACAGAAACACCCCAAAACACAGTGGAAATGGAACCACGGATTCATGTGACACCCACTGAACATCTCAGCTATGGAGCACGAACCACCACTGGGAATTCCAAGCTCATCCTGTCTCATCCTACCTCCAATCTGCAGTTCTGGACAGCCCATTCTCCTCAGCTGAGTGCTCACAGACTCCATCTCTTCCACAAGTGGCACCAGGATAGTGTCATTGATCCACTAGGAAGGAAAAAGGGGAAAACTCCAGGTCAGAAGCACCAGGAATGTTGAGGCAACGAAGGAGGAAAATAACTGCATTTCATTATCAGGTAGAGTTTAAATGATCCTTTAACATCTTCTGAAAGGACCCAAAATCCAATGGAAAGGAGTTGGGAAAACAACTCTATCAGGTCATTCTGTGGATAACGAGGAAAGGTCTCCCCAACCATAAAGATCCCTTGGTAAGTATCCCAGTTGTTCCAGGGAACGAGGGAGACGATGACGACTTTGTGTGGGATGTGGATGTGACAGCTCAGCCCAGCCCTGAGCCAGGCACTGCAGTTCTTCCCACCTCAGGCACATGAGGGACATGGAATGACTTCCCCACTCCACTTTTTCCTACATCCAAGCATTCCTTAGAGATGGGACTTACATTCCTGAACTTGGCTGTCCAGGAATCCATGTGGTCGAGGAGCTGTCGGTTCATTGTCACCCGTGCCCAAACCTAGGGAAGAGGTTAAGGATATATTAGAACATCACAGAATTCCAAGAGTTTTTGGGTCCCTGACAACTTCTGCCACTTGAGGACTTTTCTCCCACATTCCTGACACAGCTCAAATCCAAACCTTGGCATAAAATTAGACATTTTGGAGACAAATCTCATCCTCATGACCACCCTTGCTGCTGAATTTACCTCTTCTGCAGCTTGTTTGGAGGTCAGATCAGCTTCATCCTTGTGTGCTGAGGGAGCTTGGGACCTGCAGGCCAGCTGGTACTGGAATTTCCTCAGGATCTGGGCATGGTCAGCCATGGAACGGCCATAGTTCCAGAAGGTTGGGCTGCTAGAAGGAGAGCTGGAATCCGAGCTTCCTGGAAAGGGTCAAATTCAGGAACAATTACTGCCAAGTGATTCTGGAAGCAACAGGTCAGGCCCAACTGTGGGAACCAATGATTCACCCTTATCAACCTTCTATCCAGGGAAAAACTGCCTGGAGGTAGTTCATCCCTTTATCCTTATCCTGATCATCCTTATCCAGTGAAAAAAATTGAAGTATTTCACCTCCTTCATCTGGAACCTTCTCTGAGATTCCTCTCATCAAGGTGATTATCTTATCACTGTCCATGACAGCCAATAATTGGTGCAGAGAAAATGGATCAGCTCCCATTCCCAGACCTGCAAGGGATCCTATCCAAAGGAATACTTTGGAGGGAAGCTCTCTAAAGCTCCTAAGCCATGGACAACCATTGGTGTCCCACCTCATGTCCTAACTCCTCAATGGAAGGTGAAACTGTTGGGCATTAGCCTCGGCCAAGCTCCGATGTCATTATTTACAGCAGGACTAAGCTGGAATCCTTCCCAACTTTTCTCATCCACAAAAGCCAATCCTGAACTGCCTCAAGTTCCACAAGTGCAAATCCAATGTCCTGAGCCTGGGGAGGAATAATCCCAAGCACCAGGACAGGTTGGGAGTGACCTGCTGGAGAGCAGCTCCAAGGAGAAGGACCTGGAGGTCCTGGTGGACAACAAGCTGTCCATGAGTCACAGTGTGACTTATGGCTAAGAGGCCAATGGGATCCTGGGATGCATTGGGAAGAGCATTGCCAGCAGCTCAGGGAGGTGACCCTGACTCTGCTCAGCCCTGGTGAGGTCACACCTGGAGTGAGTGTCTGGGATCCTCAGGACCAGAGGGACATGGAGCTCCTAGAGATGAAGGGACTGGAGCAACTTTCTTACAAGAAAAGGCTGAGGGAGTTGGGGCTGTTCAGCCTCGAGAAGAGACAACTGAGAGGGACCTCAACGTCCATCAGTACTGCAGGGAGGTCTCAGGATGGATCAAGTTCTGCTCCATGGTGCCAAGCAAGAGGACAAGAGGTAATGGGCAGGAACTGATTTCCAGGAAGTTCCACCTGGACATAAGGAAGAATTTATTTCCTGCGCAGTGACCACGCACTGGAACAGATTGCCCAGAGAGGTCATGGATTCTCCTCATGAGATATCCCAGAACCACCTGGACACAACCCTGAGCCATGTGCTCTGGGCTGACCTTGGTGGAGCAGGGAGGTGGGACCAGAAGACTCACTGTGGTCCCTTCCAGCCTGACCCATTCTGATACAGAGTAACACCAACACCCTTCCACTCCCAAGCTGTTCCCATCCAATCCATGTGCTTACCCAGCTGAACTCTGTGCTGTTTCTCCTCCTCATTCCTCAGGAACGTGTCCAGTGACTTGACATCAGTGATGAAGTCCTCTTTGTGGGTGGAGTTGTAGCGAATGGGAGAGAAGCGATAGTGAGACCTTAGCCCACCTCCATCCACCTGCCCAGCACTTGTGGAATATGGAGATCCATTAGGAGAGTGGCTGAAGCTGGAAACCTCGGGGGAAGGAAAACCAACAACTGTGTCTTGTGGTTGAGTTCCAAGGATCAAACCATTCCCTTAGCACCTCCCTTGGTCAGTACCTTGTTGAAGCTGCTGTTGGGTGAGTAGGTCACAGAGGAGCTGTAGGATGGGCTGCTCCCTGCCAGGGCCTGGAGCTGAGGGCTGTAGCCACTCATACAACCAGTGCCAAACTTGGGGCTGGCACTGGGAGAACGGGATGGGCTGTAGCTCAGCACACACTGCCCCTGGATGGGAGGGGAAGGCGTCAGGGACAGGACTCTCTTCGCCGCTGGCTCACGGGGAGGAGTGACTTGCACAGCTGCAGGAGGGACAAGCACAGTTAGCACCTGAAACACACAGCACAACTCACACTGTGCTGCTGGAGGCAGTTCTGGAGAGGCTCCAAGGGACAGCAGAAAATCTGCTCCATGCAGAACTCAGAGAAGACTGAGATGTGCAACCAGCTTGGAACAAATCCTACATCTTCCAGTGGCAGCTCCAGAACCTGGAGGACTTCCCTAACCTATTCCATCAGATACTCCATCTACCCTCTGCACTCATCTTCATGTCTTCAGCATCTAAACCATGAGTAGTTCCACCCCAAATGGCCACAAACTAAACCACCACAAGTTTCACCTCAACATGGGCAAGAAGTTCCCTCCATGGAGGTGGCAGAGCACTGGAACATCTGCCCAGGGAGGGTGTGGAGTCTCTCCCTCTGGAGACACTCCAATCCCACCTGGATGTGTCCCTGCCTTGGCAGGAGGTTGGACTGGATGATCTCCAGAGGTCACTTCCAACCCTAACTCTCCTGTGATCTGCACTAAGAAACACAGGAGAATCTTGAGCTTCCCATGAAGGTTGTTGTGACCCTCTAATTTGGTTCCAAATCCTCAGGGTGGTATGAGGAGATCAGAATTAAACACCAACCTGCAATCTTTGCTTTGCTCCATCCATGGATAACCCATGGATAAGTCAAAAATTCCTTGTCCAGCCTCACAGTGTTCAAGTCTCTCCCTATGCTTCATCCTGTCCTCTCCCACCAAGTGTGCTTGTTTCCCCTCCAGTTCTCAACAGCAACAATCCTAACTGTGGTCAGGAATTTTGCTGTGTGGATTTAATATTCTGAGCTGGAAGAGACCCATGAGGATCACTGACTCCAACTTCTGGACTACAGGACAATCCCAAACCCTCAGTTCAGTTTACAGCCAGAACCTCAAGCCATCAATTACCTCATGTCAGAGGTAACTCAGATCACAGTTCACTAAGGAATCCTGCCCTGGACAAAGAAACCATCCCAAAACAAGCCAAAAACAGATGGAAAAAGAGGATTTTCTTGCCCCCACCTGTCTTCCTGAGCCAGGCTGTGATCTGCTGGCTGGGGCTGCTGACCAGGCTGGCTGGTGCTGCTGTGTAGGTGAAGTACCTCCAGAAGTCAAACAGGGCATTGAGGCTGAACAGCGAGGCCAGTGCAAACTCTGCAACAATCACAGGAGTTTCTGTCACAGTTTGGACATCACATACATTGTTTGCAAACCCAGGCCCATGTCCCTTAAAAAAACCATCATTGTTAGTGCTATTCATTGGGGTAACTACCTAAATTTTCTTCATCTTCCTGTCCAAGAACCACTGGAGATCATTTTCTTTGCCATGCTGAGATTCATTTGCACATTTTTAAGGTTTAAAATCAGATTTCAAAAGGAGGTATCATCAGTCTATAAACCTTTCTCCTTCTCATCCTCTGTTTGATGCAGGTAAGACTTCACTCCTCTGAAATAAACCTTATTGCTGTCAAATGCCACCACAACACAGCACTGAAGTCTGCAGAGCTCTCCAAAACCTACATCCACACCTCAAAGTGTTACAAGGCACCAAACAATTCCTGATGCCCTTTCAGGTACCTGAGAAAGGTGTTAACACTCCTCATCTGCCACTGAAAGGGATGAAATTCAAGGCAGATCACAGAAAGCCAAACATGGTTTGGGTTTCAATTTAAAAGAGACTCACTTAAAAACAACCTCCAAGCAATAAAACTGATGAGGGAAAACAGCAAACAGCCCTGAAAAATGGTTGCAAATGCTGCAGCAACTCACCAATATACCAGAGTGGGAAGCAAGTGATGTTGTAGTATGTGCTGATGAGTCTTCCAGTCCTGGAAAGAGAAACAAGCAGTTGGAATTGTGCAGGGATTCCAACCCAGGGGATGCTTTGCCTGTTTGGATCACTCACATCTCAGTGTAGATCATGCCTGCTACAGAGATATTCAGGAGTCCCCAGGCCAGGACAACCTTCCTGGCCTCAGCCTGTTTCCTCATCTTCACAGCCAGGTCGATGAGGGAAGTGTCTGGGCTCTTCTCTGGTGCCATTGTCTATAAGGACAGGGAGAACAGGCAGAATCTGTCACCTTCCCCTCAGTAGGAAGAGTCTCAGCACTCAGGGACACAGCCCACATTCTCCAGGGACAGGACAGAGACAGGTTTCCATCTCACTTTGGGGTAACACCACCCCTCAGAGGGGTGAGGGAAGGCTCCTGCTGCTCCAGGCACAGGCAGGAAAGGCCTTGCACAATCAACAGAGTATTCTGTGCCATGTGAAACCGTTTGGGTTTATTTTCTCCTTTAAGCCCATGTGAAGAAATAACCACGGTATATGCAGGTTCTTCATACTGCTCCCCCCACAGGAGCTCCAAATCCCCAAATCTCATCTCTCTCTCCCCACACCTCTCCCCAAACCTCACAACTCTCCTCCCCAAACCTCCCTGAACCTCTCCTTTCTCCCTCCACAAATCTCAGCTTTCCCTCCTCAACCCTCTCCTCTCCATCCCCAAACCTCTCCTCTCCCAAAACCTCTTCCCTCCCCAACCTTTCCTCCCACCAAATCTCTCCCCTTCCCCAAACCTCCTATCCCTCTACAAACCTCTCCTCTCCGCACACCTCTCCCTTCCCTCCCCAATCCTCACCTCTCCCTGCCCAACCCTCTCCCCAAACCTCCCTTCTCCATCCCCAAACCTCTCCTCTCCCCAACCCTCTCCTCACCCTCCCCAAACCTTCTCTCCCTAAACCTTCCCTCTCCCCTCCCCTCTCTCTCTCCCCACTCCCCCTCACCTCAGGGCGGGCAGAGCTCCCCGTTCCGCCGGGGGGT